GCGGTTGTACAAGGGCACTAGCTCCTTCGCTATCCCCTTGGAAAAGCTGGCTTGTGTGGCCGAGATGCTGGTGATTCTCTCGCTTCCTTGAGAGCCTTGCTTCGGTTCAAGTGGCACCAGGACTCCATCCCAGTGGAACGAGCGAAATGAATTGGCTCCTTGTCGGGGGGTGGTATGAATGCAGGCAAGGCGTTGATGCAGGAGACTGGCATATACACTCCACGCTGCATGGAGTATTGGGTCACGTGGCAGGTTTAAGCGAATCGGAGTTCCTTATTCACCAGTGTGGCCGATAAGAGAGCGTGCGGTGTTGTTTTCTATGCGGTTACACGTTTGGTGCGCACAACGTCTCGCAAGGAGCTCCATACCAAAAGAAGGAGGGCTAAGCACTTTTTTTAATGAGGGTTGCCTGTCTGTGCTAGACCTAATGAACGCGGAACGAGCGCACTTTGAGAATGGCAAATTGGTGTGACCGCGCGCGTTTTCATGAAGCCGCTCGGGGGGGGGGGGGGGGGGGGGGGGGGGGGGCGTTTGTTCATCCGAAATAATTTATTTCGGAGTAAATACTGGATCTACAGGAATAAAACATTTGACGTCATTCTTCGGGAGTTATACAAGCTGATAAGACTATTTTTCAAAAACGACTTTTTCAAAACAATTGTGATATTAAGGCTGTGCCCCCCCCCCCCTTAAACCTGACTGTCAACACAACTCTTTTCAACATTGTTTTATTTCCATACATGTTTTGTACCTAGATATTTACGGCATGTAAATGATGCCGTAAATGATTCAAGAAGGCTATTCAGTCTCACACATTTACCTGAAATACCTGTCGATAACGCAAATGGAGCGCTATGCGTAGAGTTAACACACAGTGTGCAAATATCCAAAATGACAGCGCGGATGTAGATGAATTTGACGCCACAACGCAGAGCTTGGGAGTTTTGGTACTCTAGAAACCTATTCAACGACTCTAGTTCCTCCCACACTCATCCATGGTAATAAAGCGGTCAAATAAGTCGTCCGGATTGGTTTAGGAAAGCTGTAACATTTTGTTTGTAAATTGATATCTGCACTGTTTTTGCATGCGTGGGAGCTATCGCGGAACTAACTAAGAGAGCGGGAACCTTCATCGTGTGGAAATCATTGCGCATTATGAGAGCAACATCTTGAACGTACTGATACTACAAGGACGTGGGCTTGCCCCGCCGCAATTGAGGAGTTTCAGGGACGGTGTCACCGCCCTGGCGGCCGGTCGCCGAAAGAGAAAGAGGGGGATAGGTTTGCTAGATGTTGGCTTTATGTAAGTTGTATAAAGTGCGTTGGCCGCGAACGTAGGCTTATAAACTTCGGCAGCAAGAATATTACGCGGCTCTAGTGTTCCGGTACGAGCAACAGAGGTGACACGATCTGCTACGACTAGCTACGACCACCCGCCGCAGCGATGCAGGCGTCGAAGTAGCGCAACCTGTGTACTACGCAGTCAGTCGCCGTCGCCCGACCCAGATCGTTTGGCATTCAGGGGTTTCCGCCCCAGGTTCTTCGTTTGTGCTTGGAACCGAGTATTTTCTCCTGTGCTTGTGTATGTGCTCAGTGGCTGGATATGAACCTCGTAGAGCAGTTCTTCAGGCTCAACGGCGACTCAAACTTAACGGCGGAGGGACTTGCTGCAACGCTTTCGGTTGGTGCACGGGTGTGACGACTACACGGATAAACTTTAAGATTGCTGTTAGCAAGGTAGGTCATAGCCGCTTTATGTTAACACAATTTTAAGTGTAAGTACTCTGTGTAAAGGCGAATCTATCGCGTTTCTGATCCACCTTTGTTTTTGTTGTTGTTTCTATCACGCACGACTGACTACTAAGCAAATGCTTCTGTACCTATCACGGAGTGAATGTCTTCGGCCTCACATTGCGGAACGCCCAATAAAAGGGCATGTTCGTTCAGCGAAAAAACTTCCCTTTCGAGTGACCATTTTTATTGATAATTTCTCCCGTATCTAGGCGCTTTAATGAACACGATCGATTAGGTTTGCTTCCCTAGTTAAGACATTTTGCTGCCACATGCGGCACCTATGCTTGGCACGATGTATGCCAGTGGTGGTATTGTGAATTGGCTTACTTCCAAAGCTAAAAGTGTAACAGGTGGGACCATTCAGTTTGCTCAAAATGTGTTGATATGGGAATTTCGTTGCATAACTACCGTTTTATGTCTAAGATTGATAAGAAACATGCTCATGTGATGCTGCACGTCTACAGCATAAGCTTTGCAGATCCAGATTGAATATGCTATATGCTACAGTCTCAAGGTTTTAATAGATCGAATTGGTGATTACACGGCAATAAATGTTGTGGTGGAAAACCGCCCATTGACTCGGTGAGTTATGATCGTGACCATTGGTGTGCTGTTGGCAAATTAGGTAATGGCACACCTCTTCCCTGACCATGTGGCTTCAAGGGACATTGCATCTAGATGTGCTTGACTATGTTTATGTCAAGGTTCAGTTGACCCCTCTGCATCATTACAGGAAGGCAGTCTAAAGCGACAACAGACAGCAGTGAATATACAATGCATAATAACAGGCACAAGTGTCCAGGCGCATAGTCCGCAGAAGCCAATTTGAGCGTCGAAATTTTTTTTTGTTTTGTTTAGATAGTTTTCATTTAATATATAATCCGCAGGGCCTGATTTCTGCGCCCAGTGCATAGTCCACCTAGCTGGTGCGTTGTGTTTTCGTGCTTGTTTTCCTGGGTGGCATTTTCTTCAGACATTCTTCGGTGAACGCTGTTGAGCCAGAAGAACTGCTCTATGAGGCCCATATCCAGTCACTGAGCACACACACAAGCACTGAAAATAACATTCGGTGCCAAATACCAACGAAGAACCTCAGCGGAAAGCCGTGAATGGTAAACGAGCAGCGTCGGGTGTCGGCGACTGACTGCGTAGTACTCAGGTTGCACACCTTCGGCGCCTGCATCGCTGCGGCGGGTGGTCGTAGCTAGTCGTAGCTTGATGATCTTCAAGCAAGAAATCTTGTCATACTGTAGTGAAGACACGTGTGCAAGTGTTCGACGACGTGGGCTCTCGCGCTGGTGCAGTTGTCATCAAGAAAGATACATATCAACAATGTTTACCCGTTGAGGCTGAAACAATGACACATACTTTATCTAAACCTAAATTTATCGGTCTGCGGTTACAAACATTTTCGTTGACGTTGTTTAGATGTAGGCATTCAGGCCTCGCATTAAATGGTGTAGCAAACTCTTCGATTGTTCTAGTTAATTGTGCTAAAAAGCGGTTGAATGGAAAGTATGACAGCTACAACATACAAGGGACAATCGAGGTCTTTATGCTGCGTTCTGTGTGCATGGACACTGGTGCCTGTTTTTGTTTTTTTTATGAAATAATGACACTTGCAGCAGGTGAGCGTTACTTCGGCATCCCGCTCTGCGACCGCGACTCGGCTGCCCCGCTGAGAAAATGCCTTCGGAAGACTTGCCCCGCTTCAGTCTCACCCGAGAACTTGCCGGAGGAAGAATGAAGCTTCATGTGGTCTACATGAAATCGAGGATGACCAACATAAAGGAGAATTACGATTTCCCCCTACAAATGGGGGAGCGTAGCAGGGTCGCCGAAACCAGCACGTCTGCGAATTCAGAGAAAGAGATGTTTATTACTTTTTGTCAAAATAAAAACACCAGACAGTAAAGGAATAACCCCGGTACAAATGCTGTGGTGAACTTCCCTGACCCCGCGACTATTCCGGTCGTTTATTGTTCACAATGGTCGAAGCTTGCGGTTTGACCTTGCTTGACGAAAGTACAAGACTGGGCATCTATCTGTCCGGTCTTCTCAGGTTTTAAATTATGTCTCACTGGTGATGTGCCCGTCGCCCTGTAGCCAATGAGCCGTTCTTCCCTAAGCTGACGCACTGTCAGCTTAGGGATGAACGGTGGAAGCTACGTGTTTGTTGGAGCAGTCACACATCTATCGTTCGCCACGTAACCACGCTCTCGTTCATACCCAGGCGCAGAGAAAGGAACGGGACACGTGATTAAAAGAAGGTGTTTGATTGACTCTGGTTAGCTTGCAGCTTCCACAGCACTGTCAGCTTAGGGATGAACGAAGTATATTATCGTCCTGATGACGCGACGCCGTGAATCTGTCGTGCCTGGATTTCGTAAGCCGTTGCCTTCCAGCGATGTCTACACGCAAGCTTTTCTCCTTCGCCTTTCCAGTCCTCCTTTGTACGTCTGTACAGCTCTTCGTACAAGGCTCTGCGCTCAGGTAGCCGTCGATTATTTCCTCTGATGCTCTTTCAAAACATTTCACCATGCAAAGTAATTTTTCTCTTCTTTCTTAAAGCTTACAGATGAATTTTCTAATTTAGGACAAAAGTAATTTCAAAAGTAATTAGTAATTTTCTCGAAACTATTGCCTGAAAGTAATTCATTACATTACTAAATTACTATCCTAGAAAAGTAATTCATTACATTACTCATTACTCCAAAAAGTAATTTATTTACTGTAATTTTATTACAGTAATGTCATTACCGCCACCTCTGGTGCAGTACAACCGCTAAGCTGGGTTTTTTAACGTGCATCATGCAGTAGTGATTACACGAACGCGTGCCGGTACGAAACTCATCCAGATCGAAACGGGCAAGGAGTGGGGATGGAACTTAAGAAGCGGAAATGGTTGGGGGCTATTGGCACACTGGCGCCCCCACGTTTCAAGTCACGCGAGAAAGAAAGAATCGATATATTCTCCCGTCACAAGCCGACGTAACGCAGTCGATCAGATTGAAACCCAAATGTGTAAATCAGCCTTCTTCCTCAAGTATTCCTGTTACTGTGACAGCGCATCATTATTTTTAGAATGATTTTGAGCAATGTGAAACAAGCAGGAAAAAAATGTGACGCTTTCATTTATCTCTTATGGAGAACGTTTAACGGTCCGCAACTTTGGATATAATATAACTACAAGAGGCAACTCCAAGTTATTAATTAGCTTGTTTTTATTTCACAATTGCAACTTGTACATACTTTGAAAATAGCCCCCACTAGACACACAAAGCCTCAAAGAAAATATATACAGTACATTAAACGTGTTATGTAAAATATGTTTTATAATAGTTTGTGCAAGTATCATGGTTAAAAAATCTTCGTAAGTTGTAAATCTTTGTAAAGCTCTCCGCAGCTTGTAAGGTATTAAAACTGACAGTCGGAATTATATTACCATCAAGCGTCCGAACGTGTGGTGTCTACCGTTTGTACTATGAAGATGTGATACCTTTCAAATGCGCATTCATTATTATACACTTGCTCGATGTCAATATAAAAATATAATAAGAAAGGAATGAAGATCGATATTTCATCATTGACATATTTTTCTTATTAATATCGAATAATTGATCCGGCCAGACTCGGGTAACAAATGCTAGAAGCAAATGATCATGGCTCTCATGCTTCTCGAATTTCTCAGCATGGCGTCATCTCCAAATGGTTCGTTCTTAGAAGGTAATTCGTTGTATGGTTTCGTCTGTGTGTCCGTTCAATTACTTCTATCTACGAATACCATCTTGAGTGGCTTGTCTGGAACGTTGATCAACCGCGTGAAGCAGTCAATTTTGTCGTACTTGTACTCCAGCTCGAAGTTTCGAACAATCTGTAAAAGAAGGAATCGCCGGTAAGCGACCGGGAAAGCGATCCCAAGGTACACGAAGCACATCAGGCGAATATCTTAAATACTTCTTACGCAGCAGTCATGAGATAAAACATAGAATAGCTTCATTTTCCTATCAGAAGCAGCTCGAACTTAAGGCCGCCATGTTTTTCTTTTTTATATTATTGTTATTCGGAAATTGTTTATTTTAGTTATGTTGCTCCACCATCAAGGTCGACCTACATCACGGAAGGAAGAGGAGGGAGTTAAAAGGTAGGGGATGGAGGGAAAAGGAGGCAGATAGAAAGGGGAAGAGGGACACTGCACGAGGATGGTGGGACAAATTGGGAGATGGAGAGAGAGAGTGAAGGGGGAGATAGGGAATTAGGGGTAGGTGGGGAGGGGAAGCGTTGCACAATCCAGTTTCCCCGCTAAATTTAGAGGAGAAATTTGCATGGCAACGTCACGTGACCTCTACACCAATCCAGGATCTCTGTTAAATTTAGCGGGGAAGTACTGTACGAGGATGGGATAGGAGAGGGAGAGGGTGGAAGTGGTAGGGAGAGGGTGGATGAGTTAGAGGGGAAGAGGGCATCGTAGCACGGTGAGGGCTAAGATTGGGAGAGGGAAGGAAGGGGCTAAATGATTGGTGAAGGATTGGAGGTAGGTAAGAAGGGAGTTTCACCGCATCCTGTTTCACCGCTAAATTTAGTGTGGAAATTAGCTTCGTGAATATGTCACGTGACCTTTATACCAATCGAATTTCCCGCTATATCTAGCAGGGAAAGCACTGTTGGAGGGTGGGGAATGGATCGGGAGGAGGGAAGGCGGAGGGAGGTATATGAAGAGGGAAATGAGGCTCCGTAGGAGCAACACCACCTAGAGCTAAGGCCGCAGCGCTCCGAGTTGTGACGTCCCAGATTCACGACGAGTGGGCCGACCTCGACGAGTGGGCCGACCTGAGAGGAAGGCTTCTCCGCAACACGTGCAATCTTTTTTTTTTTTTTTATGCGCCGTCTGGAGTTCCCCCGGAACTCCAGACGGCGCATGCTCCGAACTTGTGTTCATTTATATCTTTAGTTTCTCCTTCGCGGGGCATTTGCGCAATGACAATTTTTGCCCCCTTTGCGCACGGAAGGTTTGCGTTGCGCGAGGTTCGCGGCAAGAGTACGCGAACCGCTTCAACCGTCTTTCTTTTTTTTTTTTTTTGTTTGGTGCGCATGACGGTTATCGTGTGGCGCTTAGCGAGTTAAGCGCAGACCGCATGGTGCGTTTTTCTGCGCGCGAAAACGCGACGCGCTATGAACGCTCGCGCGGAAGCTTATGCGGGGACACCCGCATGCAGACAAAGGCAAGCACCGCCGGCCGCGCGTTATCAGCGTTGCCAGATAACAGAATCCTCAAAACGCGATGTAAATGTTGACGGAAATACTACAAAATGAGAATTAAATGAACAAAGAAGTACATAAAACGGGTTTGTTTGTCAAAAGAAACACCTTTTCAATTTTTATATGGAAAATAAAAATGTACTGTGCAGGATCACGTTATAGTTCGACCGACCCTCATTGGGCGAAAGCCGCATCGACGCCTTGGCGCGCGCGTCTTGTTCTGGGACGGCTAGAAACCAACGCTCCCGCGAAAACGCGCGCCCGCGCGCAGGAAATGAAGTCAGTTTGACGCCGACGCGCCTGAATCGCGAGTAGAAACGCGCCATGCGGTCTGCGCATCACGGGGTAGCTTTCGGGCTAGCCATGCCTCATGAATGCTGTGTCCCTGGGTGCCATGTGAACTACGAAACGTCCTCGATGAAACAATTTGTATTTAAGTTCCCAGAAGATGAAGAACCGTTAAAAGCATGCGTGCGGGCGATCCCTCGTGAAAATCTTTTACTATCGACTCATGCCAGCGTGAGAACTTTCGTATATTTTCACATCGTATTTTTATTTCTTAATTACTTTATTTTGTTTAATTTTACGCCGACATGGCAGCGCAGCCGGCAAGTACAAGCAAGCTCGCGCTCCTTGTTTTAGAAACTTATCTTTGTTACGGAAGCTCCCGTTCGCAAAACAAAGGTCAGGAGCCTTTAGCCTTCGCTTTGTGTCCCTTTCTTATTCCTATCTCTGTAGAGCATATTATTTAAGGACTCAATATGGTTCACTGAACTCGGGCTGAGCTTTGTCCTGCAGGGAAAAACTTCAGGTTGATTGCTTGGAAGACAGTTTCGGGAAGTACCCACAGCTGGCTGGCTCGCAATATCACGTATCTATAAGGCAGCTCTATGAAGGTGAAGATAAACAGCGACTGCAGAGTACGTTGGCGACAATCACGTATGGAAACGAGCGATGGGAGGAGCTTGGAAAACGAGTGGACATGCCACGACTCAGCCGCAACCTAGTCGTTACAGTAGAGGCAGTGTCACAAGCGATAAATGAGACCCTTCCAGTCCTATACAGTCGTGGCAGAATACGCAGTTCATTCCGCTTTAAAAAAAGCTGAAGTATCAGAAACGCAGGGTAGCGTTGACCGAAGAAGACAAGACGGCTAGTTTCACTCGCGCAGGAGAACTACTCCCTAATTGTCAATTAATTGGTTCGACAGGTGCTTCTTTATCCAACTATGTTCGTCATTAATGCCTTGAGACACATTTACGTTGCTGCCCAAGAACTTTCCGAACCAGTGCCACTTTGTGACCGAGCTTACAATGAAACTTTTGTTTTTATTTATTTTTATTTACAGATACTTCTGCCTTCTCAAGGAAGGCGTTGTAGGACGGGTTTCTACACAATGACTGAAACGTACAATATGGAACAAGGCCAGTGCAACGAACATAGTAAAGAGCAGAAACCGTGAAACCCACAACCAAAATATTGCACTACAATGAAATGAAACAGTGAGCATCATTACACTTTACCGTGTATCTTTTACTGTTTACGCTAGAAAGCGAACAAGACATTGAACGACACAAACGACCAACACAACCTCAGTTCGAGATATATAGCTGCCAAAATATTTTTGGGGGCAGTGCGTTGAAAGATTGGCAACAGCCAGCGGTCACAACAAAATCAAAACAATAAGCAACAAGTAGCCTCGTGGTTATTTAAAGAATGAAAAGAGCGAGGCTTTAAATGATTGGGTGGAAGTCGTGTTTACGATGTCAGAAGGCATCTCATTCCATTCAGTAAAGGTTTTAGGAAAAAGAGAAAACTTGAAGCAGTCGGTATGGCATTGATAGCCTGTAAGTGATAAGGCATAGTAGCTACGTGTGCTTCTAGCAGATTTTAGAGTGACATAGCTTGACCTATCTATTCTAAAGCCATCGTTTATCAGTGTGTATAGGAAAGCAAGTCTGTTAATTTTCCTACGCATTTGGAGGGGCTGGATACCGGCTATGTTGTATAGGGCACTCACAGAATCTAATCTTTTGTATTTGTTGTAAATGAATCTTTGTGCCTTCTTTTGTACTCTTTCGAGTTTATTTATGTTCGATAATGTGTGTGGATCCCAAATAATATCAGCATATTCTAAAATTGGCCTGATGAGAGATTTGAAGGCTATTCATTTTGTGGCAGGGGTAGAGTGTCTTAACTTACAGATACCACAGTTTGAACATCGCCATTTAAACTGTATGAAAAGACCAACGGAGACTTTTTACGCGTTATTGTCATCGAAACACATTTTTCAAGGTTTAACTGCATTTGCCATGTCTGGCACCAGTCACTGATTTTTCTCAGGTTCGAATTGAGATTAGCTTAATCTGCGCCATTTTTAATTTCAGAAAATAACTTCTGTGAACTAACGAGACTTCTGAACTCGACGACTTTTGGAGGACACACAAGTAAGCTCATGCTAACGCACTTGTTGTGGTGCAGCACGATCATTGTGCTAAAAAACTATTGTGGAAGGGTGAACGACCCGATTCCTAAGTCTAACTCCAAGTTAAAGGAAATAAATTGTGAAACAATAAAGTCTAAATCATTATTTCATATTCAGCGCACCAGTTGTCATAGCACTATCATTGTGCAATGGTATTAAAGTAGGTATGCCGTACATGTTATGTGCCTTTGTGTGGGGAAAACTACAGAACGACATCCAAGGTGCTTGTGTTCGAATATGGTCATTATGGATACAAGAAGAAAATATGGATAGACAAGAAGATACCATTTGAAGCTTTTAAAAGTGAGAAAACTATTCACAGCTTCCATTAGTAGTGTGAATTAACGCAGGTAGTTGTGGACATGAAGCTCCTACATATGTGTTCATTACTAAAAATTATTATGCTTTCACTTTTTTAGGTTTTCCTGCACTCAGTTAAATGAAAGCTTGTACACTGATTTAGACGGTGTCCTTCCCTCTTTTTACTGTCTTTTTTGCGTTTACTTTTTAGTTTTCGCGACCCAGTCCCAGTATATTTGCTTTGTGATAAACATTCCCCAGCTCGCCGGCAGTTTTGTTCTTAAATTTTTTGTTTACTTCTGCTGAAAATTCCATTTGGACACACTACATTTTTTCGTACTCCAGGATAGCATCAGTCCACAATTTGTTAACACATCTTTTATTTAGTACCACGGATGAATTCAGCAACCAGATATATGCAAGCACCACCTACTTAATTGGTGCTGTAATGCATTTTGGCGGGTCTCTTCACTCCTCGCAATAATGTTTTACACCAATTATTCTTTGTTAGTTTATGTCTATTCGCTTCTAGAGATAACTAAAGCAACCAAGAGTTAATTGCCTAAAAGAAAATCTAATCTTTCTACAAACGCCCTTAACCATGTTCTTGGATATCGTTATAATAATGGTGGGTCCTAGACGCTGCTCGTGTAATAAAATATGTTTCCCAGTCATAAAGATGTTTATAACTCCCATTTCGCCTATTAACAAACGTTTGTGTGAAGGAAGAAAGAGCAATACTACGTCGGTAAATTACGCGCGACGCCTTCAGTTCAGCGCTTCTCCACAACGCTCGCCAGCCGACTCGCGTGACGTCACCGGAGAAGCGCTGCGGCCTCCAGCTCAAGGTGGTGTTGGAAGAAGGGTGGGAGGACGGATCGGAAAACGGGAGGGAGAGAGGAAAAAATGTAAGAAAGAAAATTTTTCAAAATTAATCAAAATTAAGTGTGTGGTTTGTACGGTACGCATAATGGGAGGGATCGCTGGTCTTTGTCAGCATGATAAAGCGTGTGTATTTTTTTTATTTGAATGATTCATGGTTACAAACACCCTGCTCCCTCGAATACCCAATGCATCATGGCCCCTTGAGCATTCAGTGGAGCGTTGCTTGCAGTTCTTATGTTTCAGAAGACTGCAGCAGTTTCACCAGACTGTTCCCAACACCAAGAGAGGCAGCGCCATCTAACGGAAAAGCCGTGAAGGAGAGGCACGGGCAGCGCTGTCGCCTATCCAAGTGTACAGTGTGCCTAAATTACTGAGTGCTTCCAGTTGGTCTATCGGGGTCACATGGTTTGTCAACTGCGTTCGCAACATAAGGCGCCACGAGGTGACGAAGGCGTCTGTCGTCTGCAAGCCACTTCAAGCCTGACTCCACCTCTCTGTCCGCTTTCTTACTTGCTACGTGGCGACTAACGCATGCGCACCTGCGACCAACTGCCGTAGGAGGCGTTCGCCATTGAATTGAAAACAATCTGCCTGGTTTCAACTGGTCTCTTTCTTGAAAAAAATCATGGCTCTCTGCAAGTGTCCGTCGAAAACAGCCGCTGCCTAGTGGTCGAAATGTGAAACAGAGGTAGCCTGATGAAATGCATGAGGTTGTGGTCGCGGATCGTAGGGAATGCGAGAAAACAAGGGATGGCCCGGCAACTGACCCTGGCAACCAGAAGGCACATGACGGTCTCGGCGAAGCGCTTGCCGATGCACATGCGGGGTCCATAGCCGAAGGGCAGCAGGCAGAACGGGTGAGTTTTGGCTGTCGAGCCCTGGTCGCTGCGGTCCTTGAGCCAGCGCTCGGGCGAGAAGCTTTCGGGCTCCGGATAGTTGCTCGCCTGACGACAGGCCACCTGGTTGTGTGTGATCAGCACCGTCTGCAAAGAGAGTTTCTCCGCGCTGTAAGGGACAGTTAGAAAAGGGACCCGACTGGTTGACCCTCTACCTCCCTGTGTAATGCTCACTCGACACGCATCCTACATGTACAGTCTGTTGAGTGTTAAGTGATCCGTCACCGTTGCCATTGCGGTTTTGTAGTCGGCCATGTTAGGGAGCCAAGTTTGCAAAGGAATATTTTCAAAATTGACGCACGTTCATATCGCCTCGCAAATATCGATTGGCAAGTAGAGTTTTGCGAATATTTGAGTTTTAAGTTCGAATCGATGAATGGTTGACCCAATAATTCGACTGGACATTCGGATTCCTAGAAGTCGAGTTTTCAAAAATTACCATATATTGAATATCAGTGCAGCCGGGAAAAAAACGGGTTGAATCAGGACCGCCGTCTATCTGGTAAAATATAGTCGTCATAGGCCTATGCTGGATCAAAATCACGCCTCTATTCTGGAGCCTTGACTAAGAAGCAAGTTCGACAGGAAGTCGTTTTTTTTTTATTGTGTTTTTCGAAGAAAGCAGTTTCACTCTCAGGCTCAGCTTCTTGGATGGGCTCGAGGTAAACCCGTAAACCACGCACGACACCATTTTGAATTCAAGAAATCTTGCGCCACCTGCAGCCAGCTCGGGGCACTTTAAACCCATTCTCGCTTGTTACATTTATAATATCATAATTTATAATTAAAATATTGAGTGACAGCAATAAATATACCGGCCGCTTCCGCTGCAATATCGCTTTCCGCGGCGTCCAGCAAGGCTTGAATCTGGTGACGCGAGCCGACACCCGATTTAAACAGTTCCGCCATATCCTTCCATACATCCAACACGCTGCGTTTCCACACGTGGATGGCTCGACACATCCGTCAGCCGTGTATTAAGTTTGTCAGTTAAGAATGGTCATCAACGACGTTTTACGGAGAAGCTGTTTATGGCTAGGGTTCCGTGGATTTTTTGTGTACGTCAACAAAAATCGCAGTGCCCTTTCTTTGTCGTCGTTCCAAGCGCTTGCGTGCCTAGTTCTTTCCGCCTTTCCTGGGTGGTGGTCCCGTCGCGCGGTCTTTGCACAGCCGCATATGTAGAGAGTTTGGCCATTCACTGGGAAGTATAGAAGACAAATGAGGAGGCGCCATTGGCAGAAAACGGGCTGGGCGTGTTCCAGGGCGTCTTCACAAATTCGAATGTGACCAGCCAGAAGCCGGATATATGACCTTGGCGGTGGTTGCGAGAAACAAACTTGGTAAGTGCGTCGGAGTAACTTTCGGTGACAGAAAATATAGTGCAAGTGATGTTTCAATCACGATAATCTAAAATCATGCTGGAAGAGTGCGTTTAGCGGAACGATTGACATAATCTGAACGCCAAGAGCCGAGGTCCGGGAATCTGCCATCCGAGCGGTCACACCCTGTCCGAGCAAGAGAGAGTTCGAGCAGCACATTTGTTTCTTACATATTTCTGCATGATCCCGATCGAAACACCACGTGCACCCTATTTTCAACCACAAAGAGTTACTACATTTTACGCTTATGCGCTTACTAAAACGACCAAAACTGTTTCTCGCTACCACAACTAGAGGATTCTTTTCGCCTTCTGGTTGGTCAAGAGAGCATGCCAAACCCTCTTTCTGCGTCTGATGTACGTCCTGGCTCTGCCCGCGCTTCCCATTGACCAAACTCTCTGTATACACAGCTCCGGGTCTATGGCTAGGGTTCCGTGGATTTTTCAGATTATCGAAGCAGGAACTAACACTGCCTGTGTTAACGAAAATATAGAGGCGCCAGAGGTGGGGACTTCTCAAAGCGGGCTTCCCATGAGTGAGCGTGATTGGCCGGTGTTTCAATCCAGACGCATTCACTCTAGAAACTTCATTTTTTGTTAATCGCCATATCGTATTGCTCCTAAAACAATGCTGAAATCGATCGAAATCCATATTGTTCAAATTATTGAAGCAGGAACCAAAGCTGCCTTTGTTAATGAAAGCAGAGAGGGCTTCCCGTGAGCGTGAGTGAACGGTGTTTCAATTGAGACGCATCCACGCTAGAGATTTCGTTCGTTGTTAGTCACCATATGGTATTCATTGCTCCTAAAACAATGCTGAAATCGATCGGAAGCCATATCCTTCGTGTACGTCAACAAAAACTCGCACCGCCTTCACTTTGTCGTCGCTTCAAGCGCTTGCGCGTCTAGTTCCTTCCGCTCTCCCGGGGTGGCGGTCCCGTCGCGCGTGTGTACTTTTCGCCGGGTGGGCGAAAAGTACACGCGCGCCTACGAACACATGTCTAAAACGCGCCTACGAAGACCAACGGCGCGAACGGCAACGACAATGCCAGCGGCACTGGCGGGCGGCACACGCCACCGTCTGTGTCGCTTCGCTGGTCATCCATCTCGACAGAATGGAATGGCCTGTACATTTTTTTTTTATCATAGCTAACCTCTTGGTTCCGCCCTGCAGAACATACTGTGAAAAGTAATTCAATTACAATTGCCACTACTTTGCTCCAAAATTAGTTAAAATATATGTTTTATTATTAGCATACAAAAGTAATTATTATGTTTATGTATTACTTTCAGAATGTACTTAAATTACATTGCAATTACTCTCCGCACTAAAAAATAATCGTTCATACCTTGTATGACCGTTCAAGATAAAGCATGTGTTCTATGACGCTTTACATTCATGCCATAGTATGTCGAAAATAAAAAATGTCTAGCTCACTTGCACCTTTGCATTTAATTGCACTATAATTATAGCCATAGTGTGTCTTTGTTTCACTGGATTTATTAAGTGATATGAGGGCTGAGTTCTGAGTATAATACGAGTAAGTTGTTTCATTATTTTACCGTACCACCAAGATTGTTTATGCTCTTTTCGTAACCACGGTTTAAATTAAACGGGATTATTGATGTTAATAAGCACTGACACAATGCAATGTAAACTCTAATTATTAATTTTTCTGGGTCAACGCTAGTCTTAATAAAAATACGGAATCTGCTTGCCACAATCACATAATTCTGATGCCTTTTTACCATCTAGACAATTGAATTAGCTTTTGTTTTACGTGGTGTCATCCTACTTTGCCGCGTTACGGCTGCTGTGACTGACAGTGGCTAAGCTGTGGTTGCATGGTCAGCAGCCTTGCGCAGGCTTGGCTCTTTAAATACCCGCCGACTTGGTAGAAGGACAAGATGAGGCAGATTCATAATTATTTTACACTCTCAGGCTCATTAAAGGAATTACCGAAGTTAAAATGTAATTAAAACTCAGCTACTGTGACGTTCTATCTTTTCCAAGGACGGCTCTTAACCGACCTCGGCAAAGATTATATGAACGCAGCCTAAAGTTAGTTCCTCTCACTACAATTACCTTTAGCCAAAAGTAAAGAACTCAAAATATAAACGAGAGCAGTAAATTAATTACAGTAATTCAATTTCTGTAATTGAATTACTACCGAAGTACACTGAAGGATAAAAAAAACTGGTATTTTCCCTCGACTATGCGATTTTTTTTTTCCGATCTTGTGAACATTGCGAATAACATTTTCGCTGTTTGTATTCGATTCGACATTCTACTTTTTGTCCACTTTTAGGCCAGTTTTTAGACATCGTTGTTGGTAGTGCAGAGCACTCCGTATGGCCCCCGTTTCTAGCGCTGTTTGCTTCTTTTTTTTATAACGATCTACTGCCAACTTGCTCAACCTTTTATTTGGCTCTGACGTGCTACTTATGATTATTAGTAAATAAATAAACAAAGTACGTGAATATTTTTGTGTGAATTCCTTGTAAGCGTACGACATACTTACCTCAATAAATCTAGGATATTATATTAATTTAGAGTTCCAATAAAACGATTTACCGGCACTTTAATTAATGCAGTTTACAGCAGCACCAAGAGGCGTGTTACTTCTAGAGAAACAAAAATTAAATAAAAAAAACCGCGTCCGTCTGATTGATTTTAAACGGCAATTGTTATCAGGTATTAGCAGATGGTTAAAGACGGGTCTGGTATCCTGGTTGCTTTATTTCCAAAGAAAAAAAAAAACATGTTAATCAACAAAAACATATCTCACCCCTGCTGGCACGTTGTATCCCGACAGGACAACGTCTTCGGGCAGGATCCTCCCGACTCCAATCGCAATCGGACTTAATCTGCAAAATAAAAATAAGCAATGCCTGTCATGGAAAGAGTGCCAGGTGCGTAGCCGAGCTGGCTACGCATCCGGCTGCCACATGGAGGGGCGGGGTTCGAACCCATCTCGTCCTGCATCTTTCTTTTAACGTGAAGCGTTCTTTGGCTAGGTGCTCAGCATTTCGCGAAGCCTCATAAATGAAGCTTGATAAGCGTGGCCGTGAAGCTCGATGCTGATTGGTTAAAGATGAAGGTCACGTGACCAGACGGGTAGGCGAGGCCGATGAGGCAGGCGAGGAGGAGCTCGACTGCCTGTGCGCACTAGAGGAGCTTGAGAGCATGGAAGGCTCTGGAAGATCGCCAGGTTTATCGGCCCTGCACGCGTGACAGTCAGAGTATCGCGAAACGTTTGTGGTGCTAGAAAGCTTCACGTATTTAAAACCATTGCCTTGCAATTTGACATACTTTTTTATAATTCTGGACCCTTGCTGAAATTTCTAGTCTATTCTCGGCTGCCATCGAGTGTTCTGCTTCGGAACATTCTTGATCGCACAGCGTGAATAAAAGTAAAGGTAACGAGCTGCTTCGGACCTGCTACCCTTCAGTCGCCAACGAAGGATGTACGGCATAACCTTGGTTTTATTTCGATGCTGAAGTTCGCCTGATTAAGCATTTATATTTACTCCTGCATGGATATTTCGTTTTTATTCGTGATTATATTACGTTTAACGATTCACACCAGCAGGCATAACCCCAGCACCACAACAATAATCGGCGAGTGTCGGTACGGTATTGTTCGCAATATATGCCGAGTATCCCGTTCTTTTCCATCCCCCGGTATCTGGTGAATATCGTTTCAAAACTCGGGCAGTACAGGCACAATATCAGTCCAGTATTGGCAGCGTGGGCTGAGTACCCGCCAAACATCACGGATAACAATCAAGTACTGGCAGCGTCGGCTGACCACGTGTATGTCAGTTCAGTATCGGTGAAATGTCAGTTTACGCTTTTAGTGCTTCATCATTCTGCCCCAACATTTTTGTACTACGTTGGTGAAGTTAGTGCAGCTTTTACTGCGCTCCCAGCTTCCGGCGCGTGACTCCGTAGAAGACTTTCAACGCATTGCGAGCTTCGAGCATTAGAGAATCAGGCTACACTGCAATTCCCGAAGTTTGTGCGCGCCCAAGTCGGGATGGACTACCTGAGATCACGGGGGGTTCATGGTTTTATAAAAACAATAATAATTGTGCCGCAAAACCTTGTAAACTCAAGTTTTATCAAAACAAAACGCTCCTGTTATTTTATACTAATCTTCAATTAAAGTATGTACCAAAATAGTGTTTTTGTGTGTTTGTTCTTACGCAAAAGCATGGTTTCCAAACAAATAGTTTTTTTTTTTGTAGTTGATGTAATTGTCAAATTTTCCTGTTTACTCATCTGCCAAGAGGGGCCAGGTTTTTCGTCACGCTGCAGTTTTTTTCACCGCCCCTTTCGGCCGTCGTTGCAGTAGAATTTTATGATTTGATTTGATGTGATTTGATCTGAAATGAGCCAGGTTTTTCTGATGTTGGAGCGACGTGAAAAGTTCAAATATCCTGCAAAGCAAAAGTTAAAGAGCACACACAAGTTACACAGATATAAAGATTGATAAACGTTTCGACGCGTCACGAAGGTGTGTAGTAAATAATTTTAATAGGCTGATGGATGTTCTTTCACTGCTTTATGCTCATAGAGGGTGCTTTCTTTTCATGGTAAATATTTTTTTTTATATATATAGGGCTTACTGCTAAGTAAATGCGATCTACACTTCAGCTTGGGTGAGTTGGTGAATCATGCTAATATTTCACAGCACACAAAAGGAAACACACTATAAAAATACATACACACAAAGGAACAACTCTCACGCAGCGCTGGCTGTCAACTCTGGGATATATTAAACATCACCTTCGTTATCTTTTAGTTTTACTCTTACGCTCTAAAAAAGACAATAAAAATTAACTAAGGAAGAGCAGAGAAAGAAATAGAAAAAGATAAATAAAAGGAAAAGGAGAGAAGATAAGAAACAAAAGGAAGACAAAGAAATAAAATACAAATAAAGAAAAAGAAAAATAAATGAAATGAAAGAGGAAGGGATTACACTAAAAGTCACTAAGGAGGTGTTCCTAAATAATCTACCTCTTTTTGGGATAAAATCTTTTTTTGGGATACCTTATCCAAAAAAGAGTTAGATTATTTAAAAAAAAGCTCCTTAGCGACTTTTACTGTAGTCGGACTTTATCCCTCCCTCTTTAATTTCATTTTTTTATTTTATTTTCCTTATTTTGTATTTTATTTCCTTGTCTCACTTGGCTTTCTGAACTTCTCTCCTTTTCCTTTTCATTATCTTTTTCTTTTTCCTTCTCTGTTCTTCCTTAGTTAATTTTTATTTTATTTTTACTTTTAGTGCATAAGAGTAAAACATAACAAAGTTATGTTTAATATATCCCAGAGCTGACAGTCAACGCAGCGCGAGAGTTTTCTTTGTGGGAGTGTATTTTTACAGCGCAGCTATTAGGTGCCCGTTTCCGGCTTGAGCGGCATCGCCGTCGTCGGCGTAACCGCGCGTAACCCTCGTAACCCTCGTGAGGGTTACGAGGTTTACTCTCACGAGGGTTACGATGGTTACTTTCACGAGGATCACGAGGGTTACCCTCGTAACCCTCACGAGAGTAACCCTTGTAACCCTCGTAACCCTCACGAGGGCTACGAGGGCTAGTTACCCTCAAAAGAATTACCCTCAGAAGGGTCAGGAGGGTTACCCTCACAAGGGTCACGAGGGCTATGAGAGCTACCCTTACAAGGGTCACGAGGGTTACCCTCACGACGGTCACGAGGGTTACCCCTGAGGTCACGTGACTCCCTGAGGTCACGTGGCCTCAGGGAGTCACCTATCCCTCAGTACCCTTCCATCCTATCCCTCAGTACCCTTCCTTCCTCCTCCCGAAGAGCTGCGCTCTAATCCGGTGTTACAGGGAGCGCTCTAATCCGGTGTTACAGGGCTTTCATTTCTTATAGTTTGTTGTCTTGTGCGCGGCGCGGCGAATATTATACGAGAGGTAATCGTAATCTTTTGTAGAGTAATTAACTAAAATTCGGTAAGGAACAGTTTCAATCAGTGGCTTTTCAAGTCACGTAGCAATTGCAATTTTGGAGGCTAGCACCGTGGAAGGCTGTGAATTTGCGGATGGTAAAAAAATATCACCGAATTAGAGATATTCGCCCACACATTTTGGCCGTATCAGCTACTACTGACAGATCTCTGTGGTAATATCATACTTTAATGCGAAAGCATTAACTGTCCCATGAAGCGAACCGGCGTTGTCTGAGTGAAGCCAGCGTTATCGCTGTCTGTAGCAGCGATAAACGACACCTAAATTCCCATTGGTTGAGCGAAACGGCACCTAAATTCCCTTGAGCGAAACGGGACCTAAATTCCTATTGGCTGCAACGCGTCATGTGGCTCCATAGCAACGGCGCCATCGTTGCTAAAGAGCCAGCCAGACTGCTGGCGGCTCAGCGAGACGGCCTGTTGTTAGGCCTATCGTTAGGCCTAAAGTTGCAATTTGAGGTCTCACGTCATCAACCAGTACCCGCAGCTAGGGTGATGATGATAATGAGAGGACACGTGATTTCAGCACGCGCCGCGCCGCTAAGTCAACGATTACTTATGAGCAAGTTTTCTGAAATCTGTTGATGACATTGTTCACTCTGTAAGACTCCGGTGTTCAGGTTTAAGGCAGGAGAAGTATGTCCTCCTGCGTATACACCTTTCCAGTGTTTATCACCCTGGCAAAACATTCGGAGTGACTGGGCTGCAGACGCATGCGCAGCGTCTGATATTCAGAATGCGTTCCGCTGCAAAGCAGATAGGGATAGAAATGTGCAGAAGCAATACCACCTAGAAGACAAGCTTCAGCTTGTTTGCCGTTTGGGGCGGGTCTACGGTGTAAGATATACCATGGGCGGGTTAGGAATCCACTACGATGACGTAATTCGCTGGCCTTGCCTTCGAGGTGGTACTGTTACGTTTCTCCGGGAGAATCGACGAATCCGGAGACCGACGTTTATTTGGCAGCGTTTATTGTTTGGCAGCCGGAACCAAAAGAGCGCAAAGCTTGCCGGCGATGCCGCTTATATCGGCAGCAAGCACCAGAGGTACGCCCCCCTGACTCAGCAGTTCTGCTGCGGCCGCGACAGCGATAAGCGATAACATCGCATCGTAACAACTCCTCCCCCTTTTAGGGCGAAACCGCATAAAACAATTTTCCCGCCACTCTCCAGGTTTCAAGCACGTCCTTGGGAATGTTCGACAGACAAACGAACGGCGTAATCCTAGTGCTGCTTGCGCAGAACTTCACAGTCGTTGCTCGAAGAAACCTTCGCAGCGAATACAGGTTCAGCTTGCGCTGATCCGAAGGGAGGGAAGTCCTGGAGACGCAGGGCCCAACACCGTTTGCGAAACTGGCCGGAAGCGTCGACGCGCGGCCCAACACCGTCACTGCAGTTTTCAGTGTCCTTGACTGGTCGGAAGCGTCGACTGTGCGGTCCGAGAGGAGCAGGAAGGAGCGGTGATGGCGTTCCTTGCGACCATGAGCCAAAGTCGCCAGCGGCCCAGGAGTAGCAGCGGCTGTCACGTGCCGTCGGTGCCAGGACGTCGGGATGACAACAGAGGTCCGTCGTGCTTCTGAGGGGAATGAGAAGGGCCAACAACAACCAAGCACCACAGAAATTGCGGAGGCACCCGAAACGCCCTTTCCACTCACCGAGAGCACGAATTATTCAAAAGAAATAGCTTACAAAATATGCCCCAAACGCAGCCAGAATTTTTTGAAAATATCGTTCCCGATCTTTCGGGAATAGACAGCTAATGAATGAAATTGAATGGAACTATTTACAAATGTGCAGATGAGACAAAAGAAACAGAAAATCGCACTGTGCGCCGGTTAGAGCGCTCGGCTCAGACAATCGGCGTTCGCATGAAGCTTTCCTTTTTTATGTCGAACCAAGAAAGAATATTCCTGGAGGGTCAAGCTCCAGCGTAACAAGCGACCGTTTTTGGGGGACAGCTGCTGAAGCCATGTGAGCGGTCTATGATCTGTAATTAAAATAAACTCCGAACCATAGAGATAGCAGCGAAGCTTTTCTACAGCCCATACGAGACAAGCGCATTCTTTTTCGATAGTACTGTAGGCTTGCTCCCTTGAAGTTAGCTTCCTGCTGGCAAACAAAACGGGGTGCTCTTCCCCTTCATTTTCTTGGCTTAGAACGACGCCAAGTCCTTTTTCGCTGGCGTCGCACTGCACTAAGAAGGGTCTTGTGTAGTCAGGGCTGACTAATACGGGCTGAGTCGCCAAGGCTAACTTAAGAGCCTCAAACGCATGTATCTTGCGATCGTCCCATTTGATCTTAGTGGGCTCAGTTTTCTTGAGCGCATCCGTCAGGGGACTCGCCTTTTCAGAGAACTGGGGAATGTACTGGTGGTAGTAATTCACCAGTCCGATAAAGGACATCAAATCTTTTTTTGTTTGTGGCAAGGGAAACTCTTTAATGGCCTGAACCTTGAGTTCTTGTGGACGTCTCATTCCTTGACCGACTACGTGTCCGAGATACGATACTTCGCCTCGGCCAAACTTACACTTTTTCGCCTTGACTGTAAGTCCTGCGTCTTGCAGGCGCGAGAACACCTGTTCTAGGTGCTGAACGTGCTCTCTCCACGTGTCCGAAAATATAGCGACGTCGTCTAGGTACGGCAACGCAAAAGACTCGGTTCCGACCAGTACCAGATTCATCAGTCTCGAAAACGCATAGGGTGCGTTTTTCAGTCCAAAGCTCAGGACAAGCGGCTTAAAAACACCAAACGGGGTCATGAAGGCGGCAAGGTTACTGGCGTTCGCGGTAAGTGGCACTTGCCAGTAACCTCTAACGAGGTCGATGGTTGAGATGAACTTGGCTTTGCTTACTTTCTCAAGGCAAGTTTCGATATTAGGGATTGGGTAGACTTTTGTTACCGTTACCGCGTTTAACTTTCGATAGTCCACACAGGGACGAGGTTCTTTTCCTGGAGTCTCTACCAGAATCATAGGAGACACGAAGTCGCTCTCGCACCGCTCAATCAACCCTAGCTCTAGCATTTGATCTACGGACTCCTTTAATAGCTTTTCTTGGCGGGGGGAAAAACGATAGGCCTTACACTGAATATTTGACCGAGTCCTCACTTCGATGTCATGTTCGACCAGACTCGTTCTTCCGGGAATAGTTGAAAACAATTTTTGGTATTTGCCAATTAATGCCGTAAGATCCGAAAACTGGTTTTGGGTGAGCGTCTTATCGACTGCGGCCTCTACGACTTCGGCGATTGTCAGGATCCCGTCGGTTTTTCCCAGCTCAGGAATTCGTGTAGGAACTTCCTCTGGTTGGTTTAGTGCAATGCTGACTACTTGCACCCTTTCCACGTACGGCTTCATAAGGTTGCAATGGTATATGCGGACCTCTTTTCTGCGACCTGGCAGTTTTACCACGTAATTTGTCTCTGATAGCCTCTGCTGGACCGTTGCTGGTCCTTCCCATTGCAATTCCAACTTATGAGCCTTAGAAGACCTCAAAAGTAGGACTTTGTCACCCACCTTAAACGTTCGGAGGCGGCTGTTTTTGTCATAGTAGGTTTTACCTCGCGACTGCGCTTTTCCCAGGTTAGCCTCAACTAGCTCACGCGTTTTGTGGAGACGGTTTAGTAAGGAAAGCACATACTCCACCACTGTTGGGTTCTCGGCTTCACCCTCCCAGCCCTCGCGCAGCAACCGCAAAGGTGAACGCAAATTGCGTCCATAGACCAGTTCCGCTGGCGTGAAACCAGTTGACTCGTGAGCAACGGTTCGCAACGCGAAAAGCATAGCGGGCAATGCCAAGTCCCACTCTTTTTTCTGTTCGTGACAAAGGGCCCTGAGAATGCGCTTCATTACCGAGTGCGCTCTCTCTACGCTGTTACTTTGCGGGTGGCTTACAGAACTGTGAACAATCTTAATGCCACACCTCTCGAAAAAGCTGGTTGTTAGAGCACTGGTAAAAACGCTACCCAGATCACATTGAATTTCACTAGGAAACCCGATCCGAGAAAAGACCGAGAGCAAGTTATCTACTACTTCGACCGATGTCTGCTCTTTCATTGGAACGGCTTCTGGGAACTTGCTGGCTGGGCATAATATCGTTAGAAGGTACCTAAAACCCGTCTTAGTTGTAGGTAGGGGTCCTACGACGTCTATCACTAGCCTTTTGAAAGGTTCCGTGATTATGGGCACTAGTGTGAGAGGCGCCTTTCGGCGCTCGTTTGGTCGTCCTGTTCTTTGGCAGGTGTCGCAAGAACGGACGAATTGCTCAGCCTCCTTAAAGCAGCCCGGCCAATAATATTCTGCCAAAAGCCTGCACTTGGTCTTTGTGATTCCTAGGTGTCCCGACCACCCTTCTCCGTGAGCAAGCTCGAGTAATGCAATTCTATACTTGGATGGAACGACAATCTGATCTACCTCGTTCCCCGATTTGTCCTTGAAACTACGGTAAAGAATGCCGTTGCTCATAAAGAAGGAGATGTTCGGCTTGATTTCTTTTCCCACGCTATCACGACACTTTGAAAGACTCGGGTCGGATGACTGTTCGGCGATAAGCGTAAGCTTATCTACACCGGCTAGCGCACGAAAATTGCTGCTCTCCGGCGAAACCAGCGTGGTCATGTCAGCTCCTTCGTTCGGCTCTTCATCGGCCCCGCTGCTGGTTTTACCAGTCGTCGCGCTCGCTTCCGTCTGAAGTGTTTCCGGCACTGCACTAGTTGTCATTGAGCGCGTGACGACTAGAACAGGATTCATGTCAAGCGGTATACCCGACTCGCTCAATTGCCTTGCAGTTCTGTTTGACAGTATGTACGGACAGTTTGGAAGCACTCCGTCAGAAACAGCTGCTTCCGTTTCCACTACTCCGAAAGGTCCGTTTAGTTTTACCTTAGCGACGGGCAGACTAACTGCCCGATTTTCCAAGGCCTGACGGATCCACACACAGTCGCCTGTAAAATGTTCTTGCTCCACTAGCGAAGAGTGTACCAGATCATACGTGGCGCCGGTATCTCGTAAACCTTTGCAGAATTTACCATTTACTTTCATGTCGTACAGATACGGCCTGAGTAAGTCCTCCGCTTCTCCCAGACACAAGTTAACGGGAGCAACTTTAGGGACGCGGCAACCAGAAGCGACATGACCAGGCTGTTTACACCTGTAGCACACTATTGGTTTACGCTCCTCGAACGCCTTCATTTTACGTTTCTTTTCGTCTGAATCAGACACTCCCTTTGTCGGTACTTCACTCTCTTTGCCCTTTTCGGCGGCTTTCTTCACGAACGTGCGAGGTCCGCATCGTTCGTAGAAACGGTTTGAGCTACGGTTTTCTTCTACAACTTTTTTCCCGTGCCTAGAGCAGTACTCATCCGCGTAATCTGCAGCTTTTTGCACCGTTTCTACTTCCGGTCTATCCTGAATCCACTCCTTTAGACCTATCGGAATACAGGAGAGAAACTGCTCTAGTGCTATCTGCTCCAGCACCTTTTCACGATCCTCGTAAGAGTTGACACCACGGAGCCAACTTTCCAGAAAGCCTTTAAGCTTATAAGCGAACTCCGCGTAACTTTCGTCCGGTCCTTTCCTTGTCTCTCGAAATTTCTGGCGAAAAGCTTCAGGCGACAACCTGAACTTCCTAAGCAGGCATGACTTTACGGACGCGTAGTCATCGGCTGCTGTAGGATCTAGTCGGGCCAAAACGTCGGCCACCTCCGCTGGCAGTAAACTCAAGAGCCTTTGAGGCCAGCTCGACTCTACAAGACCCATCTTAGCGCAAACCCGTTCGAAATTTACTAAATAGAGGCCCATGTCTCCGCCGACGCGAAAAGGTTGCAAAAGGGCTCGCATGTCAAACTTTTTCGAGCTGTTATCCACCACAATGGCCTCACCAGCGTCAAAGTTACGTTGAAGCATTTCTAGCTCAAGTTTTTCTCGAGCAACGCGAAGCCCTTCTTGAGCCGCGTGAAGTTCCGCTTCCCTTCGTCTCTTCTGCACCTCGCTCCAACACTCGGAAATTTCGTCGGCGCCCGCGCCACAATCTTCAATGGCCTTGATAATCTCGGGCTTTCTCATGGCCTTGACCACTTTAACACCCAGCTCTTCCGCTAAGAGCATTAAATCGGGCTTCACAATCGCCGCGAGATTTATCGGATCCATGTTCAGAAATTTCCAAAAAAGTTTGGCTACTTTTGCCCAGCGCCCGTATCAACCGTTTGGCGACACCACAGAACTAACTGCCTTAAACACTTAAGCTGCTCGGTGAACGGAAAGGAAGCCTCAGGCACTCACCGACAGCACCCATGGAACCCGGCGTCGTCGATCCATCCCACCGCTGCCACCAGCTGTTACGTTTCTCCGGGAGAATCGACGAATCCGGAGACCGACGTTTATTTGGCAGCGTTTATTGTTTGGCAGCCGGAACCAAAAGAGCGCAAAGCTTGCCGGCGATGCCGCTTATATCGGCAGCAAGCACCAGAGGTACGCCCCCCTGACTCAGCAGTTCTGCTGCGGCCGCGACAGCGATAAGCGATAACATCGCATCGTAACAGTACTGACAGAAGGCGATTATTCGAATGGCCTAAAGAAAAATCAAGTTCCTTCGTGCCGCCTGATGTCAGCGCCACGACTCAATGTCTCACCTGAGGCTCTCGCGGATGCAGGCTTTAAGATAGGAAGCATTCTGGAGTTGCTCGAGGTCCAGTTGGGAATCCTTCTCGGGCAGAAGCCGGCGCAGCTCCAAGAACAGCTTCTCCTGGCTAGACGGATTGGTGGCAAGGTAGTACAGGATGAAGGACGTCGTGTACGCTGTCTGAAAAAAAAAAGAGTACAAGAACATCAAATGACCATGTTTGCGTCAGGTTGGAACTGCGCTATGACCTTCATATAAACAAATGTACTCGAGCGGTTCCGTGAAGAAATGTCTACGGAAATTTACGAGGCGAAGAGTGCCCTCATCCGCTACTCCATACTAGCTTCACTGCAAAAACCATGGACCAAATTACAGTTGGTGTGCAGGCAAGCTTGTAAAAGTTTACCACGATGATTTTATTTGTTGTACCCTCTATACTCCGTTTCACCTTCAGTCCGAGCGCAGCGGATGCTAGGAGCCATCCCAGCCAATCCAGCGTGGAGAGAGTGTCGTGTGACCTTGAGCTCCCTGCGTCGCTCCGCCCAACCGGCAGGTCACGCGATTTTCTCCCGACGCTGGATCGGCTGGGATGGCTCGTGGCGTCCACTGCGCTCGGACTGAAGGTGAAACGGAGTATAGGCCGAAGCGTTGCAGAGGGGAGTGGGGATAGAAGTACAAACGTAATAAACATATAATTAATATGGCTCACTTACACGAATAACGACTTGTTAGTGTTTGCTTAAAGCGGGCAAAATCTGTGATTATTGCAATTAGGGATGTCGCGAACCGCCCCAGGTTCGATTTCGAAAGGTTTCGATATTTGCGAAGCGAACTAAAGTTCGATTTCGAAAAATTTCGATATTTTCGTATTGACCGAGGTTCGAATTCGAAAAATTCGCAACTTTCGATCACAGTGAAGTTTCGAATTCGAAAAGTTCGAAACTTTCACGGTTTCTAAAATTTCGGATTCGAATATTTCGAATATTTTTTTACTTCAGGTTCGATAAATTCGAAGATTTCGAAATTCTTTGGAAATAAAATTCGAAAACTTCGAACGCTTCGAATTTTTATAGACATGAAGTTCGAACAATTCGAAGATTTCGAATTTTTTTCTGCATGAAGTTCGAAAAGTTCGAAGGTTTCGATTTTCTTTTAACGCTAAATTCGAAAAAAAAAAACGAAGATTTTGAATTTTTTTCTAGTCCACGTTTTCAAAGTTCGAAGTCCGGTTTTCAAATTCCTCCACAGTTCGTTTCAAATAACGTTTTCACGACTCACTGGTTTCCACAAAATCAAGTTTAGAAAAGTTAGGGTGTGATATCTAGATTCTGCGAAGTTGGTCAGGCAATTAAATGAGACGACGAGTGTCCCGGATGTGCTGGAATATTTGCCAGTGCAGAGTGACTTGAGACCATAGATCAGTAACTGGGACCGCCAGCCCGGGGGGGTCTTTAACCTGCATCACGCAGTAGTGATCACACGAACACACTGTTTTACGAGACTCATTCAGTTCGAAACGGCCAGGGGCGAGCAGGAGGTTGAGGCTCAGAAAAACCATGAAGCGACCTGGCAAACCACCTCGCCACGATGCTAGTAATCCGATCGAACGTCGCCCGAGTGACGCTGGCATATAGTAAGTTAAGTTTATAATTGTCCTGGAGGTTTTTTTTCTGGGACGGAGGAATCGCCTCGCAAAAGCCGACACAACTCGAGGTTGAGGAGCGTTCTACCATACAAGTGGCGTCGGAAGAGGAAAAACGGGGGGAAAGAGGGTAGCGGGGGGGCGGGGGGTCTTCAGTCCCCTTCCCCCCCCCCCCCCCCCCTTCCAGATATTTCGGACTGTTAAAGGAAACAATACGGGAAAGAGGGCGTGGTCGAGCTTATTTTAATCTGAAATTATTTATGCATATATATCGCTACTGTCGCTCTTCACTGCATAAAAGATTGCGTAGATGGTCATTGTTAGAAACTCGTTGTCAGAAGGCATTACTCGTCACATGCTTAGTGGTTCGGAAGTTCAAAGCTATGTCTTTTCGACCTAAATACTTGTGCCAATAGTAAAAAAAAAAAAAAAAAATAAAAAAAATAAATGCAAGAATAAAAAGCTGGAAAAAAAAACTATCAAGAATTCGCCGGAAGGGTTGTATTCTTGCATATTCAGAGGTTCAGAACTTCGAAACAAGTTTCTTTTACCAAAATGTGTACAGGCTAAAAGAAACACGTCCCAGGAACGTGAAGCGAAAAAAAAAAAAGTTTTCTTTTAATGACGTGCTGAACTTGAACACTATTAGAAATCTTCTCAAATGAGTTAATTCATTCCTTAACGTGAAAAAACAATAAATACATTATTTTGTATTCTGCAGATGGCAATGATATGTACTGTATGTGGTGTTAATTTAAATGCGATACCTCAAACAACTTAGACAAAAATAGATATCAAGTTTAGGGCATAATTGCATGTAGATACATGTTTGGACATTTCTTCGAAACTCACGTTGAATAACAATAATCACATCTTAAGACGGCACTTACCTAGGCTATACATAGATCATTCTTAAAAAAAATATAACATCTCTACCATAAATAGCTTCGGCTACAGCGCGCTTCAAATCTGGCACAAACGGTAATCGTCAAAAACCCGTCGTCCTTCCTCGCTTCTTCGGGAATTTATTTCTTTAAAACTAAGCATGCCAGAACATTGAAACAAACGGCATTGTCTTTCGTAAGGAACGCAGCACCGCGTGTAAAAGTTAGAGAAATAAATATTACGAATGTACCTCACTACTTGAATTCAAATGAAACCGTCCGCCGGTCATTCGAAGTTCGACGAACGTCGAACTTTTACGCTAAAAGTTCGAAGGTCGTCGAACTTCTCACTTTTCAGGATTCGAAAGTTCGAAGCTTTTCGAATCCTCTTGATAAATAAGTTCGAAAGTTCGATATTCATCGAATTTTTTGGTCAGTCAAGTTCGGAAGTTCGAAAAGCATCGAACTTTGAGGCGCAATAAGTTCGAAAGTTCGTAAAAGATCGAATTTTTTAGCGTAATAAGTTCGACGGTTCGAAAAACGTCGAACTTCTTAGCTTAACAAGTTCGAAAATTCGACTTCTGTCGAATTTTACGATGTAAACAATTCGAAAAATCGAAATCTTTCGAACCTTTCGAACCGCTTGATTCGATCATCGAAACTTCGATTCGAAAAAAGTTCGCGGCATCCCTAATTGCAATGACTAGAGGAAGGCAGTTTTCTTCGCGAGATGTTTTGGGATGAAACTGTTGAAAGAAATGTTAGTGACAAGTGGTTGTGCCAATTTCGCATATGTCGTTGAGGCGCGAGGAGACGTAGACTGGTTCACTCATTAGTGGATTATTGTAACAGACGTTATCGAATTAGCACAAACGCGAGATTGTACGGTGACTCGAAAAAGAGGCAGTAAATGACTTAATTCATGGACGTGACAGTCGATGTACGATAATATTTTGATAATAAGAAGCGCGCTTAACGGTTTTGTGCGGCTGCGAGTAAAGATATGTCCAAATTTAGGTACCAAGGTCCCAGGCTGAACTTGCATATTCTAATTTTGGTAAAACTAATGCCTTATAAAGGATAAGTTTTAATGAAGACGGCGCCTGCTGAAAGGTACGTTGCAGGAAGCCAAGCGCGCGATCTGCGTAGTTAATAACATAATTGGTGTGCGTTTTTCATCACAGGTCTGAAGATAGAAAAAACCTAGATATTTATAAGTAACATCGCTTTCAAGGGGGCTATTTAATACATGGTAAGTAGGACACGCTTCAACCTTCCGTGATGTTTTCGTTGCATTACACATGCTAATATATGGTTTCATCTGTCATGCATCATACCAAGAGAAAAAAGAGCATTAAAATCAGAGTGTATAATGTCGACATCAGCAATGTTGTTAATGTTACAATAAAGAACACACTCGTCAGCAAATAGGCTTATGGAAGCTGAGATTGTAATGGTCGGCGGAGGAAGAAGCAGACACTACCGAAGTGGCACGTAGAACAAGAACATGGTGTCAGGCATGGGATGCGAACCAAGGCCCGAAATAAATAACCGCTACCTGGACTGAAGGCTTTTGAGGCACCTGTAGAAACGAGTCCGTTTTCTAGCATGTGGAGACCGCTGCTCGTTGATTGAAGGACACGTAAGCCCAACCTAACTACCCTCGTCCGGAATTCTTAACCTGGCCTCACCACGTATCATGGAGTCTGCACTGCAGGTGCGGTCTTGCGATGAAAACTTCATACACCTCACGGGAGGCTTCTGCTGTCAACGAGATTACGGTAGACGACTGCGCCGGGGGATACGAGATGCCGATTATGCCTTCGGGAGGTTAGGCCTTGCTACGCCAAACAAATCAAGGTGCACCAAAGCACAGCATAGTACAACCAAGGAAAGGCGAAACAAAGTCACGCAAATTATGGTACAGAAACGCACAGCAGCGCACAACATAAGCAAGGCAAGTTAAAGCAAGTTGAAGATCATCAAAACAACATTGTCTAAAAAGGGAAACCCCTACAAGGCGCTTCTTTCTCACCAAATAGCGCCTTTGAGCAAAGGGTACGGCCATGCGGAGCTTCTTATGGGATGACTCCTCCGCCCAGGCGTGCCTACAGCAAGTAAGATGCTTGTTCCAGTAACTCCGGACTTAGAAGGGAGGAATAGGTTGGCAGGTCTTTAATGTAGATTAGAAATAGTGTAGGATAAAATTCAGAGCCTTGTGGCACACCGGAGTTTGAGGGAACAGAAGTGGAGTTATTGACATTTATGGTTACAAATTGCGATAGTGCGTCTATGAACACTCTAACCAATGTCAGATATTTGAATTAATACTTAGCAGCCTAACTTTGTAAAGTAACAGTTGATGGGATAATTTATCGAATGCTTTGGAGAAGTCTAGGAATATGCAACCAGTCCTATATCCGTGGTCCCGTGTTGAGCGGATGTTATGGGCGAAGACTAAAAGCTGGGTGTCCCATTTAAGCAGAGACTGAGGAAGTATCGTGTTAAATTCACCATAAGCACCCTGAAAAAACTTGGTTTGACTGCCATGCAGTTTACGCAGGATGTTGAGACTGTCTGTGCCCCTGATGGTAAAACACGAGTGCTTAGAATCTCGTCATACACGACTGATAAAATCAAACGCCAGTTGCAAG